GCGGCTGCATATTGTTATGCACAACCTCCGATGGCTCAAGTATGTTCTGACCATGATCATCGTCAACGCAATCTGGCTGCATATTCCTGTCATCATAATCGTCTATGGTACAAACTCAGCCCATCCGAAGCCCTGGATACCGGTGTATAACATCTACGAACGAATTCAACTCAGTGTCTTCATCGCCCAAGAACTCGTCATTTCAGGTCTCTACCTCTTCGAAACCACCAAGCTCCTCCGCCTGGAGCGCACTATTGGAAACGTAGGTACTAAGAAGCTTCTGTACCATCTCATCTCGGTCAATGCTCTTGTCATCCTCCTCGACTTCAGTATTCTTGCCCTGGAATTCGCCAATCTCTTTGAGATCCAAACGTCCTGGAAGCCGCTTGTATACAGCATCAAGCTCAAACTTGAATTCAGCATTCTCACTCGCCTCGTCAATTTGACGCGAAAGGCCAGGAGTGGAGACGGAGCCAGCTCCTACGGCAAGAACGCATATGGTAACAACGCATATGCAAACCACGCAGCAGAGGCTGGAGGCGTGCCACTCGGAACGATGAGGGCAAAGAGCAACGTCCAACGGTCAATGCTAGGGACTGGCAAGGACGAAACAGACACCTGGGAGGTACATGTTAGCACTGGCAAGGGCAATACCAACGCTACGCCAGCGCAGGTGGTTAAGACGACTGAATTCACAGTGCACAGTCACAGCAGACAAGCGAGCACAGAAAGTCTGGTGGAGAGCGGGCAGAAGGCATTTGTCCAGTCAACTACCACAGAGTCGCACGAGATTGAAAGGGATAGCGCGTCGTCTGTCTTGTCAGATCCGCATTACAGGAGGCCCAATGAAGGTCAGCAATGGTAACACCGCTGGAAGGGATATACCGATCGATACCAATTTTCCTTTGTTTTTTTCCTAACGAAAGCGTGTTTCTCTATATCCGTTAATTCTACTGTTCTTCGTTAATCCGAAAACACACATTTCTCTCGCTTCTTCTTACTCTCATTCACCCTCAACCTTTGAGCGCGGCACACACACGCACGTGCGCGAAATCATGACATGATATTTTCTTCCCCCACAAACCTTGTGACACGCGTTTCCCATAGATGATTTTTTCTCGCCTTCGACACACATACACACAAGCATACACACAAGCATACGCACAAGGCTTGGCTCTTGGGTAGCCGGACGAAGTTGACTTGGGCGTAAGCATAAACCTAGTACATTCCCGGCGGCGCAGACATTGGTTGCACAACAAAAAAGGGGACCTGACAGAGGGGCGTAAGACACACAAAGTCGGACCTAAGTGTCAAGCCCTCATGCAAAAAATAACTACTTGAACCAGTCACAAGTTCGGTGCCTGTCTTCGTCTTACTATAATGTCTCAAATAGAAAGGGGAGGCGAGGCGAGGCGGGGGCAAGGGAGTGTCCCGTGCCGACGTGGCATGATAGTACGTATCTGACATTGCTGGCGTGGCTAGCCGCGAACTTACTAGCCCTACTACTATGTACTTACGTACCCGGACAGACTACTTTGCCCCCCTAACCGCATGCGGGTCGCTCTGCTCACCCCACCCCCAACCGTGCTTACGTTCAAGAACGCTTGCAGTGGAGTGCGTATGCTCGGGGCACAAAAGACAAAAAACCCGTTTTAAAGTTTGTCGGTTCCAATCTTGCGTTTTTTGTCTTACTTATTGTCCCTTCACCCGCCCCCCGGCCCCCAACCAGGGTATTTTAGAAGGGTTCTGCCATGTACATCTGCACCCGAGGCCTAGACGCCCCCGATGGAAAGAAACCTCATCGGTCTGGATGCGAATCGATCTTCTTACTCACAACCCCAGTCCCTTCAATTTTTGCTCTTGGGGGAGATCCCAAGACCTGGCGCGTGAGAATGACACTATGGTCAGCAGCCTCCCCCCAAAAAACAAGCCTATAATCCTCGTTTCCAGACACGTGGTATTGCGGGGATGGATGAATTAGGCTGTAGGTGTCGTAGTACGCGGCATATACTAGCATTATTTCGGCTTGATTGATTAGAAAGTGTCCGAGGTTGGGCGGAGAAATGCGCAGATAACGGGGTGAGAATTCGTATTTCACTCGGCTATTGTAAGATGCCTCGTTATCGTTTGGCCCTCGCCACCGTTAAAATGCTTGCTATGTCAGCAGCCGGTTCAGCAACTTTCTTTTGCCGTTTCATGGCTGAATACCGAGGGAAAGGAAAATGAAACTCCGCTGCTGAGCTTTTTTCCGCATTTTTTCTGGATTGGTTTGACCACTAGGGCTGCTCGGTCGGGAGTCGGTAATTTAGGTGAGGTAAGCGTTTTTGTTCAATGAGAGCTAAGTATTGGAAGCTTTGGAGGATTCGAATCCTGATTTTTGGGCTCTTCTCTCGATTCATCTGGTCTTGGTCGAGTTGGGTGTCCTTGGTGGCATTGCACCAACCGCCCAGTGAGACGTGCTTTCGTTCTCCTGCATCGCTGGTCGTATCTGTGTTCCGGTCTTTGCATCTTCACCAAGAGCAACGTTGCCCATTTTGTCGGTGTCGGCTTGACCCGCTAGAGTGCCTCTTGGGTTCGATCGTTCGTATCCTACCTGTAGACTGATTGTCTAGGAATTCGGTCAGCTCAGGCCTGTCGTTCGGGCTCACGTATAGCCGGGGAGAGAGTAAGTATTTCAAGGTCGTCGCCGACTTGCGACAAGCATGAAACGAGGAGTTGGTACAATTCTTCCATCTCCAGAAGATAAATCTATGCAGCGAATCACAAGAGTGGGTTGTCCCGCGATGTTCTTTATGCCGCCCCATATATCCTGTACTGGGTACTCGGCAGTTGATGTAAACGCAGCTGTGTTATGTGTTATGTAATGTGATGCTGGATTCGCCCATCCGTGCTTTCGTTGGCCGGCAATGCAAGATCCATATGCTTTGACATTTAGTAATGCATCAATTCGCACTCCCAATGCCGTTCCCTGGACACCTACAGAGGCTTAGGGCACCGTGTGTTATGGTTTCTGAATGTCTTAAGACAGTTTCGTCTTGGTGCACGTGATGGTGTTGACGGGAGGAGCGTTTGAGCGTGGTCGGAATAGAGCGGAAATGGTAGGTATCGACGGCGGGAGATGATATTAAAACAGAAATGGTCGCCCAAAGTGAAAAGATTTGTACTTGTGTTTGAAGACATAGTCGTTCTTTCCGTATTTCAGCGCTTGGTAATATGTACACCCTCAGTGAGCGCCAGCGGCTGTGTAGTTGAAACCTGACATGTTGAGCAGCTTCGCGATACTTTCCCCAGCTTCTTCACAAACACAACACTTACTCGTAGAATGGTTCTTACCAAGATAGGAGAATTGCTTATCGTTCTTCATTTCCTCTTAGCACGGAGAGAAAAAGGGCGCGCTGGTGCGGGCTGAACCTCCGCCGAACTCCGGTTCCAAACATGTCACGTCTCAGAAAATCATTTCGAGACTGCACACAAACCACAAAGATGGTAATTCTAACCACTTGTCGCTGAAATAAACCTGCTTTCGCACAGTACCAAGCATTATGCACAATTACTTCCCGGTGAGCCACAACCGGCCATGGCGGGCCTGACTTGCATATTACCGAGCTGCAATCTATTCCGCGCGCGCCTTTGATTTCCTCGTTCACTGAGTAGATTGAGTTCCTCAGGTACCAATTTCCCGTACCTTTTTCCCTTTCTTTTTGTGAGGACTGCTGGTTAGTATGCATATCGTTGTTGAGCAATGATCTTCGCTTCGTACTACCGCTCTTTACTTTTCTTTTCATCATGTTTAATACTCAGAGCTGGTGATGCTCAGATGCTGGGGTCGTGGTCTCCAAGCCAAAGAGAACTTCACGTGCGCCAAAATGGCAACAACAACGGGCCTGATGCAAGCGCATTCACTATCGTTAACGGAAGAATTTTCACGCCTGGGTTGGGAATAATACTAGCAGTACGTCACCTGATATCCTAGGGAAAGGCACATCGGGCTGACAAGAAGTCACAGCCTCAACCTTTCACGCCAATGGGCGGCGACTTCCTGCACATTGCCCTCGATGTGTCAGGTGACGGCAAATTGCCTGTCCCTCCACGCAACATTGCCGACCCGCTCACCCAAGTCTTTAACTTCACTCTCTTCTTGACTTCAACAATTACCCAGAAGAACTTTACAATCTCTAATGTAACAACTTCTACACCACCATTTGCAGACATACTCGACCAAGAGCTCGGCCAAACAGTTAAGCACATCAACTTCGAATGGCCAGACTGTCTCGTCGGCAACGGCAATGACGAAGAAGGTGCAACAGCAAGAGGTGACTACAACATCAGCATCCACCAAAACTACCGACTCAACGGTGTAGATCGATACACGATCTTCAATCTGCCAATCAGCGTTACCAACAGCATCCAGCCGTTCCCTGGTGCAGGCCAGCTGACTACCAAGCCTGCTCCAGGACCACTTAGCGCAAATGGAGGCCGCATGCAATGTGCCATGATGGAGAATCCACTAGTGGACTTTCAGCTGCAGGTTAACAGCGTGAATAACCCACCTGGACAGCCCATGAGAGATATCCAGATCGAGACCAGTCCGCGAAGTGATGGAGGGCAGGTTGGTGCAAATGGCCAGGACGACGGATCAAGGGGGACGGGAGGAGGTCAGAGTGGAGGTGTAGATGGGCAAGGCGAAATAGCGCCAAACCAAGGCGCTGGTAGCAGTCGTCCTGCATTGGGGGCAGCAGTGAGGATGTCAAGTGAATCGCTTTCCGTGGTCATGATCGGCATGTTGGGGGTTGTGGTGGTGTTATTTACATCTGTGAGCTTATGAGGCTCAGCTCCTGACAGACGATTGTCTGATCAGCTGATGCGTGACTTGTGGATATGTATATCTAAATACACCATAGTGCCGTCCCGGCATGGGTATATACAACATGATAAAATAGAAAGACAGGTATATCAATAACACATAAAATTTATTACCCACACACTATAAGAGAAGAATATTATGAAGCCAGGGTTTCACTCTTCCTCCTCTTCCTCGCACTCTCATCCTCCACCATCCCCTCTCCAACCTCGCTCTCCGCCCTCTTCCTCTTCTCCTCCCTCGTAACCTCTTCTCCCACCGACCTTTCCGTAACAAACAACGTACTCGCCGTCTCCCTTACCCCACTACTCCCCTCCTCCTCCTCGCTATCACCACCAATCCCCAACTCCACCGTTCCCCCCTCAGGATCCCTTAACGCGACCTGAATCTTCTCCAACCCCATGCGATCCCCCTCTACCGTCTCGCTGATCTCCGGATCAACCCACCCCTCCGTATAACTACCCCCAAAATCAATAATCCACAGCTCAGACTCGGCATCCACCATGAAATTATCCGCCTTCGCATCCCCCCACACAACCCCATGCTCATGCAGCGTTTTGATATAAGCTTCGCATTTGCGGCTCCACTCTGCTCGTGCACCGGCGTCGACGCTGGAGCGCAGGAGCTTAGTTAGGGGCGTTGGGTAGCGGATGTTTTGGAGCAGCATGCCCATTGCTTGGGTTTTGCTGGTGCCGAGGGAGACGAAGCCGAGGAGGTGGGGGAATTTGATGTCGAGATTTAGGGCTTCGAGCTTGCGGAGAATTCGGATTTCGCGTTTGACCGAGTCGGGTTGTGAGGGGACAACGGGCTTGAAGAAGTATACTGTGCCGGTGCTTTTGTGGACCACTTGGCCTGGGTGCGCGGGAGGTGGCATGCTGACTTCGGATTGCACGATTAGGTCGTTGGGGTTGAGCCAGGGGAGGTTGTAGTTTTGGATGTATTTTGGCATCTTGAGGCGAGGGACGAGGGCTTCGATTTTTGCTTCGAGCTCCGGTGTTGTCTCAAGGAGTTCAGGGGATAGCTCGCCGTTCTTGATTTGCATGTTGTAGAAGTATGTTGGGCCATGATACCATTTATACAATGTGGATTCCTCTGGTTCTCGGTTTGGTGGTGCATCGGTTTTCGTGATGTCTGCAAGTGACCCAAGTATCCAGTTTCGCAGCTCCAAGCCTGCACTGGCTGAATCTTGGTCTAGGTCTTCTCCAACCTCGTCCTCGTCCTCCTCATTGCCCTCCACATACTCATCGTCATCACCGTCTGCTGTGATGTCAACCCCACTGTCTTTACCATCTGAACCCTCTGAGCCTTCCCTGCCCTTGCTTTTGCTTTTCGCCTTGCTACGATGAACTCTGGCTTGTTGCTCTTCAGCTAACTCTTCTTCCCTTTCTTCTGCTTCACGAAGTGCTGATATCTTATCAAGGTATTCGTAATACAATGGCTTCTCGTGGGACTTTTTCAATTCTTTCGGGTCAACCATGACATGATAGCGGACATCATTGACGAGGGTTGTGAAGGCACAGTTGTCATCTTCGTCGTAGGAAAAGTGTAATGTGTGAGCTTTGGTATTGGTAACAGATGGTGCCATTGTTGGATAGCGAAGAGAGATGTGAGTACTGTGAAGTATCTACTGTAGAATGACAAGACTGTGCCCCCATACAAGACAACTGACCGTACACTCATGTATACCTCAACTCCCAACCTCCCCTACATCCTACATGGCCACACTATTACATCACCTTTGTGTTCTGTCACCGACCTCATCATATCCCCAAACCGGGATGACATATCATCATGGCTTTCTTGGACCCCTGCATTGTCATCATAGATATGGTGCTAATCTTCAGGTACGATCGGTCGAGGGGCGAGCAACGGCACCGGGAATGAATATGAGTGGTTCACCTTATCTAGTGGCTTTTACTACACGATGTTAGCGCCATCGATCTGAAACTGAACGATGTTAGAAAGGTTGGTTGCGAAAAAGGAGATTGGCATGACGCGCCCACGCGCGATCAGATGTCATGACGTCAAGTGGTAGTACGTAGTACGTACAAGCTGACAGCATTCGTGTTTCCCCGACGACGGCACCGAACACCAAAGCACTCCAGTTTGTTTATTTTATTTGTTCAATCACTTGCATGGTCTTTGGAGGGGTGTAAGGAAAAATTAGATGAGGTTCAATTGAAAAAGCATCCAAACGTTGTCGCATTGCTACGGAGGCGCTCGTCTGTCATTGAGATATGTCGCTGGCAGACATCCTGCACTCATTCACGCGTTCAACCGTCAGATATCCCAACCGTATACGCCTTTTTTAAAATAACAAATATGCCAAACAAAGGAGCGTAAGCCTACACCCTACGGTCCCTACAGTGGCAGCAGAAGAAGCGAAACATGTTTCTCTCATAAAAAAATCCCTTGACAATGCCAAGATCCTGAGAGCCCGTCCCATGAGGTTGAAGTAAATGCGTCGGACCATCTCCCAGAGATTACACATACGCCAAGTCATTATACGTTCGTAACATCCCAAAACAATATCATACAGTCTCGCACATGTCTTCACGTTGGGAAGACTATTTTACACAGTGAAGTCCAAAAGGTCGTACGCCGACGAGTCCAAAGAAGTAAAGTCGCTCATTGCCTTCATCTCGAGGTCAAACTGCGAGTAGGAAGCATCGGGCATACTGTCAAAGAGCTCGTCCAGATTGTCCTTGGAGTCGATCGGTGAAGTTGGTGGTGTTGTGAACTGACTTGACTGGACCGACGACCGCGAAGGCGATGACGTTGCCTTCAAAGGACTAGGCTGGACGGGCGCATGCGAGTCGTTTGGTGACCCAGCAGAATTTGGGCGCACATCAGCAGGCGACATTGGGGGCGTATGAGAGTGCTGAGAGAGTTGTTGAAGAATGTTCATAGACGCAGAGTCGTTAGCATAGGAAGTTGATCCAAAGCTCGACTGGGAGAGGCCGGCATCTTCGGGATAAGGACTTGATGAGGCCTCAAAGCTATATTCTTTGTCAGATTTGGGCGGTGACAGGATTGGTAAAGGAACTAACCTGAAAGGATCTACAGAAGACTGCATGGAGTCATTAAAGCTCTGTGATTCCGAAAGCAGCTGAGGGAGATCTTGTGATTGAGCCGGTTCAAAGCCAACTAGCGGTGAAGGAGACCGAGCATCCGAGTTTGGCGAGCCAGCTGATGATGAAGGTGCTGACACCAGGGCGCGTCGCGTTCTGCTGGCCTTGTCGACGCGTTGCTCCATATCCGGCCGATTCTTCTTCGGTCGGCCACGCTTGGCCTGTCGACGAACTGCATCGGGGAATCCACCGACACACATGCCACGCTGGCGATGGCGCGTAAGAGCGTCTTGTCGTGCAAACCCTGCACCGCACGGGCACTTGTATGGCTTGTTGCCAGAGTGGATCTTTGCGTGGCGCTTCAGGTCATGCTGCCGAACGAAGCACTTACCGCATCCATTGCACTTGAACTGGCGGTCACCAAGATGTGTTTGGATATGCGATCGAATGTTTTCCCTTCGTCCAAAGACCTTGCCGCAGCCTTGGTACAGGCACGTCCACTTGCCGGTTGTCGCGTCCTGCTCGCTGATGTATCTTTGTACTTCTTCGGGCGCAATGCCGGTGTACTCGTAGCTAGCGTCCACATCCAGGTCGCTGAACATTTGAGAGGGCGCAAACTGCTCAATAGGTGTTTGCAAGCTGTTAATGGGCACTGCGCTTTGGGGAGTAGGCAACAAGCCGTGTGATTGCGCAAAAACCATCTCCCGGTTCTCTTCGATATTCTCCAAAATAGATTGAGTAGGCTTTTGTCGTGGCGAAGAGACGGGTGATGGTGACAATGCGTCGGAGGTGTAATACGAAGACGAGTCGTAACCAAGGTCCACTTCTGGGTTCTCAAAGTCGAATGTCATGGCTTTGGAGGTAGGCTCGAGATTGACGTCGGTCATGCCAGTAAAGGCAGCCGAGAGACCGTTTTGACTGAAAGATTCATGGCTAGGCAACTGCGCTGCCTTTTGTGGGGTCGCAGTGGGTGTAGGTAGAATGTTAATGAAGACTTGTCCACATGAGCCATACACAGACTGGATGTGCTCGTGGAGTTCTTTCAATTGCTGTTCAGTTGGGGGCTTAGAGGGGGAAGAGGGAAGCTGCGTGGGAGATTGCACACGGGTTAACCTTGCGGGCGTCCGTGGTGTTGACGAAGTGATCTGTACTGGGGATGCCAAGAAGGTGTCCTGGGGGCCCGGCTGGGGCTGTCTGTGCGTCTGCGCTACTTGCATAGAATGCTGTGATGATTGTCCTAGATTGTTAGTATTACTTACCGTACTGTTTTCCTGCTGGAAGGAGGGGATGTCGAAGGGTCCTGGTCGTTGGGCGTATTCCTGGTATTGGGCTTGTCGCGCAGCATGGATGGAGTCTAGGTTGAGGCCGCGTAGATCCAAGCTCATGCCGGTCCGGTGTGAGCGTCGTATTTTAGCAGGCGATGGGCGTACTGAAGGCGCGTCGAAAACAGTTGGTGTCGAGTTTTGTCGACGGTGCTGAATCCGTTGGCGCTGGATGCCGGCTGGCATATTTGTGGACAGCATATCTTATGCAGGTCGAGTCCGGAGTCGGTTCTCGAGGATGGGGGAAGTCCTATTGGGTCCGAAACTGATGCATGTTAATGGTCGTGTTACTTTGAAGTCGCAGTGTCGAGCATGCGAGCTTGGACGTTGGAATAAACGGATATCCAAACTTACCTCACGCAGTGCAAGCGGCGCTCCGCCGGGCGGTCGGTGTCCTTATGGTATCCTCAGTACAGATGCAATCTCCCAGTAGCCTGCGTCAAGTAAGTAATGGGCCGAAGCCTGTGCGACTAAGGCTGAAGACAAAGAAGTGTTTTAGTGTAAGTCGCTAAACAAAGCAATTGATACTAGAGATGAAGAAAGTGTGGGTGCAGAAGATGGAGAGTAAAGTGGAGGATAATAAAAGTAGCGCAGGCGGGGACAGCTGAGTATTACCGTATGAGGTCAGGACACAACAATCGCTGGCATATCCGTCACCCCAGCGACGGCTAGCCGCCCATGGCCGAGGCTGGCGCTAGTGTGTCCACCGCGCCTGGCCACAATCACGTGATTTTTTATCTGCATCGCGCACGGGCCCTGTCGCCGCCCGCCGTGCTCGCTTACGAGATCCACACGAATTTCATCCACCCGAGCACTTTCCCGCCGACTTTTTCTTTTCACACCCTTTCTGCATCACGCTGAGGAAAGCAATCACGACAGGATTGCTTAGGCCGCCATGCAGATCTTCGTGAAGACCCTGTAAGACACCTCGCGCGCGCACAGCAGCAGCAAGATCTCATTGAAAACTAACACACTGGCAGTACGGGCAAGACTATCACCCTCGAGGTGGAGTCGTCGGACACCATCGACAATGTAAAGGCCAAGATCCAGGGTACGTACAGCTGAGAGAAGATGCCTGGGCTTCGCCATCTGACATCCGCCAGACAAGGAGGGCATTCCCCCGGACCAGCAGCGTCTCATCTTCGCCGGAAAGCAGCTCGAGGACGGCCGCACTCTTGCCGACTACAACATCCAGAAGGAGTCGACCCTCCACTTGGTCCTCCGTCTCCGTGGCGGTGGTAAGAAGAGGAAGAAGAAGGTCTACACCACCCCCAAGAAGATCAAGCACAAGCGCAAGAAGACCAAGCTAGCTGTCCTCAAGTACTACAAGGTCGACGGTGATGGCAAGATCGAGCGCCTCCGCCGTGAGTGCCCCCAGCCTGAGTGCGGTGCTGGTGTCTTCATGGCCGCCATGCACAACCGCCAGTACTGCGGAAAGTGCCACCTCACCTACGTTTTCGACGAGGCCAAATAAGCGCGCCACCACCCGGGGTACGCGACACGATCGATAACGAGTTACGGCATCATGGCATGGCTGGGAGGAGCTGAATAGGTTCCACCGCATTGTCGGACATGTACCATCAATCAATGAAAAAAACTTGTCATGGACCAGATGAACAGTCAATTGTTGCATACGTGAATGTTCATGTTGTCTTGCCCGCACTGACGTCAGGTTCATAATCTATTCGCTAACATGATTGTCCGTGCTTGGTGGAATGAGAGCCTGTATTGGTGGCGCTAGGACCAGTGGGCTGATTGCTGATAACCTGATAGTAGTACTAAATAAGCGGATGTGGTCGGTCGCCTGTTGCCACGGCGTCTTGCGGACGAATGACCTATTTTTGGGTTGGATGTGTTTCAACACTGACCCGTTACGTTACTGCCATTGGACCATGTGATTCAGCTAGTGCACTCTGGAATGATTTGTACAATCAAGAAATTGAACAGAAATGTGCAAATGTTCTCCAGGATGAGAATGAAGAATCAAGTTTGGTATACATCAAGCATTTCACAGACACAGTCATGAGTGAAGTCAGAATATTTTGTTATTTAGACATGAGTGGAAAGCTACGCATTTGCACGCTTGCACTTCGCTTTTTCCCCAAGGGTAGTTATACATGATCATGATGCGCGAAGAAGAAGTGGGGGTCCATCGTCCTTGTTGTATCATCCTCTTACTTCCGGTTCGCCCTCTGCTCCTTGTCGGCATTACTCTGGCTAATGTCTAGACCCAGACCCTTGCTGTCAAGGTAGATTTTGTTGCTGCTCTGCTGCAAAATGCTGGCAATGCTCCTTGCATTCTCAAACTCTCGTAGGTCAACGTAACTCCTGCTCTTCTTGATGGCGTCACCAATCAGTTCTGCGGAGCGGGCCTCACCCTGGGCGCGAACGACGGTGGCTTGCTTCTCCTGGCGGGCCTTGTCGACAACGAAAGCAGCGCGCTGGGCTTCTTGTTGGGCAACCTGCTTGGCTTCTACAGCAGCAGTGAACTCGGGAGAGAAGGCAAGGTGCTAAGATGGGTCAGTAAATTGCGGGGCTGAGAAGGAAATTGTGACAAGGGCTACTCACTGTTAGGGAGACGTCGTCAAGCATAATGTTGAAGCGAGCGGCTCTCCTGACAAGGTTGTCCCGTACCAGCCTGCTAACGTTTTCACGCTGCGTAATAAGCTGGCTGGCGTTGAATTGCGCCACCACACTCTTCAAGACCTCGTTGACGATAGATGGCAGAACCCTCTCATCGTAATCCGTACCCAATGTCCTGTAAATCTGAGGAAGCGCCTCGACCCGCGGTCTTGACAATACACGGCAGGTTATATTGACCATTTGCAAATCCTTGGTACCGGTAAGGGAAGCGACGTTTCGTGGTTTAGCGCGCACATCGTAGGTAATGGGCGTCTCGAACCAGGGAATGCGAAAGTGGGTGCCTTCACTGTAGATTTCCTTCTGCACGCCACCAATTCGGGTGTACTTGATTGCTCGGTGGCCACCATCGACTGTAGCGGGTCAGCGTTCCATGATCATAGGATTGAACATGCGCTCTTGCGCAAAGAGAAAAATACCGTTGAACAGCGCATTATTTGCCATCCAAATTCCACCACCGACGAGCAACAATCCTCCGAGGCCTCCAAAGACACCCCTCGGTGGTCCGCCGCCGCCCGCCCCTCCAAACCGAGCGCTTCGTCGTGTCAATTCGTTTTGAAGGCGCGACCACGCTTCTTTTGGATCCGGTGCGGCCATCTTGGTCTGTTAGGTGAAAGGACGAGGATGGGGTGGGGTGAGGCGTCCAGGCGGCAACAATGGCGGATGAGCTCGGTGATGAGGTAGCGACAATGGAGAAAATGGTCATCGGCGAATGATGACCCCCGACCACCAGCGCCCGCGCCAAGGCAGACCCTCCGCATTGCGACATCGTTGCACTCCGTGCGTGCCTGTCTTGTGCCCTATTGTTTATTCTAGTCTGCACAATGTCTCGATTCTTTTGCGCAAACAGGTTGAAACATTTGTTATTACTCCGTGATAGGCAGCTGAATATCCTCACGGCCTTGCCGTCTCATCTTAGAGAGGGGCTTGCCATGGCTGTCGCATCGTGTTAGCGCAGGGACCACCCAATCAATGTGATATGGGGTAACCTTAAAGCACAGCTGTCCATAAGCCTCTCGCCCACGTCGATTCTTAAGTCCTCTCTCTGCCCGGCTTGTGGCACTTTTTCGATTCTTGTACATTGCTGTCCTTCTGTGATACCCAGTTCCTATTTGTTTTTCCCCATCTGCAAAGCAATCATCTTGTGAGCTGTGTGGAGTCTGGCGACGCAGGCGCGGTCGCCTGTATAGAGCACGACGTAGGTTTGATATTGCATCACAAAACTCAATTGAATGTGCCTTAACCCGAGACTAGTAGAGAGAGGACTTCGGCCTGCCGTACAGCATCTCCACTCCAAATCATTATCATTCAGAACAGAACTGTCACCTACCTCGACCATGTACGTCACATCGCGATCGCTACGGGCCATTGCTTGGTCAGCCTTTGCAGTATATACAGCACGGGCCGACCATGTCATGGAGAATCTCAGTTTCGGGTACAAAGCAGGCGAATCTATTACACCTGATCACCACTCGGTTCCTCACTTCGTCGTCCAAGGCACAGACGACTATACACCCCAGATACTCTCGGATCGCATTATTCTTACACCTCCATACCCTGGCAACAGGCGCGGTTCAATATGGGCTCAGGACGCGTTGTATCACAAAGGCGACTGGACTGCAGAATTAGACTTTAGGGCAACGGGAATGGAGCGTGGAGGTGGAAATCTGCAGTTTTGGTATGTGAGGGATTCACAGGCACACGAGACACCTGCAAGCTTGTATACTTCGCCCAAGTTTGATGGTCTGGTATTGCTCATAGACCAGTATGAAGGTCATGGAGGATCTATCCGTGGTTTTCTTAACGACGGAACAAAGGACATCAAGTCCCATCCAGACCCAGACACACTGGCTTTTGGCAAATGCGACTATGCATACAGGAACCGTGGCGAACTCACACCAATCAAGATGCATCATGCACAAGGCTTCCTTGAAGTTATCGTTGACGGGCAACTCTGCTTCAAAACAGACAAGGTACGGTGGACTTGTCTATGGCCTCCAGACGTCCAGAACACTAACCGCTCCTCCAGGTCGAACTCCCTGAAGGCTATTACTTTGGAATCAGCGCCTCATCCGCCGAGAGCCCAGACTCATTCGAAATTCACAAATTCGTCGTATCCACCATCAACTCGCACATCACCAATCCGCCCAGCCCAAACAAGAAGGATTACGCAAACTACGTAAACTCGCAGCAACAGAAACAGAACCAACAACAGCAGCAAGCCAGGGGCACGTCAGAAAATGGCTTCCCCCAGGTGATCGACGACGTATCCGCAGACACCATCCGCGCCCAGCAAGAGCAATTCGCCGATCTTCACAACCGCGTCCAAATGGTCGACCACCACCTCGCAACCCTCCTCCACCGCGTATACGAAGTCAAGCAAGCCGTTGATACACTCACCGAAGAAAACAACGAGCGCTGGAAAGACATAACTGAGCGCGTGCATTCAATCGACGCGCGGGGCTCCGGTACCATGCACAACGTCGAAAAGGTGGAACGCGCCACGGCGCAGATCCTGCGTGATTTGGAGTCCAAGGATTTCAAGGAAATGATGAATCAGATTCATCGGGCGCTCGAGAGGAACCAGGATGGCGTTATTCAGGTTTTGCCGCATTTGATGGGTGCTGGTAAGTTCTTTTTTCTTTTCTTTTCTTTTTGACATCTAGACCCCCCCTTTTTTTGGTCTTGATCGAAACTAACTTGTTTCAAAATAGCTATTACCAGCAAAGGTCCTAGCGTGACGACCTTTTTGTTCATCGCCGTCGCTGTCCAACTCACGATTACCGGCGGGTACATGCTTTACAAGAGGAGGAGAGACTCAGCGCCAAAGAAGTACCTGTAGAGTCCTTGACCCACTACCCTGGCCAGACGAAGTCGGTTATTCATTTTTGCGCTGCAAAGGCCCATGGCGCCCTACGGGATGTAATTGGTGGAGAAGCTTGTACCATGTTTCAGTTCGAGAAAGAATTGGAAAGACGAGATATTGCTTTGATCATGACTTGTGTTTTCTCTCTTGCGAGAAAAACCTCTTCTATCTTGTGAATGTTTGTATGCTCGGAAATGCCAGGAAACCTATTTAACGCCATCTATGCAGTTGTAACAATAATCATTTCTCAACCCCAACACCTCGCGCCTACGTACTCATCTTCCTCGGCTCAAGCAACAACTTGCCCGACGGCCCAGTCTTCTCCGCGAATCCTTCTGCGCGCGAGAAAACACGCTGACCGCGCAGCCAAGTCTCGCGCACCACGCCCTTGAGCGTCTTGTTCTCGTACGGCGAGACTTTGTTGCGGAAAAGCATGGTGCTAGGTTCGACCTGCCCATCTCAGTTAGCCATGTTATCCAAGAGCTCCGTATACACATCGGGCAAGTACGCAGTACAATACCAAACAAACGCAAGATAAAGAGGAACTTACCATAAACTCGGCCTCATCGTCAAACACCACAATATCAGCATCAAACCCTACACCAATATCTCCCTTGCTCTGCTCCAATCCAACTTGCTTGGCGGTATTCTTGCAGCACCAACGCACGATATCTTCAATGGAGAAGGAACTGTTGTCAAAGCGCTTGGTACCTTCAGTCCATAGGATAGGAAGACCAAGGCCAACACTTGAAATGCCGCCCCACGCGCCAAAAAAGTCGCCTTTAGCTGCCGAGTCTTGGGTTTCGAGGTTGCTGGGCGTTTCTGACGACGACGATGCAGGTGCCAGATGTGCGGGTAGGAGCTTAATGTCTGGTGTACAAGGTGAGTGATCCGAGACGACGGTTTGAATGACGCCGTCGGCGGTGTCTTGAAGGAGTTCTTCCCAGAGGCCGTCTTGGTTTGATTGCGAGCGGATGGGGGGACAGCATTTGTGTCTTGTGTCTCCCTCCTTGATGCCTTCGGCGGCGAGAGCAAGGTAGTGGAAGCATGTTTCTGCTGTGATTTTGACGCCGTCTGCACGCGCCTTGCGGAGCAGAGGGATGGCTTCGATGGCGGAGAGATGCACGATGTGGAGTTGGAGCTCGGGAGCTAGATGGGCTAGCGACAGGATCTCGGCTACAGCACATGTTTCAAAGGCGGGAGGTCGGGATTGCAGGAAGGTGTCGTAGGATGTTAGGGCGCCTTTGGGAGCAAGAGGGGGCTCCGAGGTTTGGATCACGTCGCCTACGGAGTCGGCAATGGGTGGGATCATCTCGGCGTGGAACATGAGGGTGGTTGCTGAGTCTTTTAGTTCGAGAAGTGCTTTCTCAATGTCGAGAGAGGATACGGCAGGAAATTCCTCAACCTACATGGCGAGTGTTAGTGGCACATGATTGAATGTTTGAGTATACTAGACTTACACCACTCTCGCACAAGAAGCCCTTGAATCCTCGAACACCTTCTTTAACCAGTGCCTTGAGATCACCTGAGTTACCTGGGATGATACCTCCGTAGAAGCCGACGTCGACCCAGCATTTGCCTTGCGAGGCCTCACACTTGATCTTGAGATTCTCAACCGTAGTTGTGGGTGGGATAGCATTCAATGGCATGTCGATGACAGTGGTGACTCCACCAAAAGCTGCTGCTCGGGTACCAGTCCAGAAACCTTCCCATTCTGTTCGGCCGGGCTCGTTGAGGTGTACATGAGCATCAACAAGTCCAGGTAGTAGGATGTATGGAGAGTAGTCTGTGTATGGTGTGCCTTCAGGGAAGTGCGTTTGAGGAAGCACTGAGTGGAAAATTGACGTGATTTTGCCGGTATTGTTCGATACAATGATGGTAGCCTCTGTAATTCGGCCACCAACAACAGCTCTTGAAGAAGCCAGTACAGTGATGGGATGAAGTGGCTGGGCCTGGGAAGTGGGTGGAGGTGTCGTTGCGTGAGGAGCCATGTTGCAAGGCTGGAATTGGATTAACTGAACTTAGATTGGAGTGGACAAAGAAGTAAAGACAGAAGACGTGGGAATATATAACACCGCGTCAGGAAGGTAAGAGCTATTTACAGCCACAAGCCGGTTTCGGCGAACGCGGGGAAGTTGGGGTGGCTGTCGTCGGTGAGCTGCAGATAAGCGTTGATAAGACGCTGTCAGTGATGCGCCAGTAAGTGTAAACGAGGACTGAAGTAAGGTCTTTGGAAGAAATTGAGTATAATAGTGCTGGTAGGGAGAAGTTGGGATCCTTTGCTACAAAAGAATCCTGTGGTCAGATATATCGACTGTCAAAAACGCCAAAATCTGGGGTACAGTCCCTTATCTATCCATGGCTAGGAGCCACCCCGGGTTATTCTTGAAGCATTGTATTCAAGCCATGGGTCTCGCTAACACGAGCGCCACGGGATGGTGGGTCACCGGCGCGCCCTGCGTTACATATTGCTCGATACTATCGAGTAACTACTATGAGGCGAGGCTATCGCGGCCGCTCTGACCATGCGTCTCGGCACTGTCTTGTGTTGGTCAAGTTTAGTGTAGATACGAACCAATATTTTCCCGATCATAGGTATTTGCTGTCCGGTGTGACTTATAGTATGTAATCCTCACACCATCTTTCCCTTAAAAATATGACATTGGAGTTGTTAGAACTGTAAAACAGCCAAAGACGTAAATTGCTTCTCTGGCCCAAAAGGTGGTGTTGGGAGACATGCATGTGTTACTGATAAGCAAATGCAAGGATGTGGCTCCCCTACGATAGGCATGCAGTAGATCGCTCCGATTAGGCCCACAAGGTCTAGCGCAGGGCAGCCGGTTGAGCGTCATAATACCCGTAGAGCCTCGAACATGCAGGACATGGTCCAGAATTCACCGCCGGATATTTCTATACAACTTGTGTCTTCTCGAGGAATAGAGAATTCCCTTGTTTTTGGTTATTAGCCTGGTGGATAAAAGAGCTGTGAGTCCTGAGGCTACCGGGAGAGTGCCCGACATCTCCGGAGAAGCTAAGGAGATGTCAGGCAGCGCGTACTCACCTTCTATTTCTATCGAGTAACGGAAATCCAATAAGCTGGCTCTCATCACCGCGACCGCTTACCTAGCCCGACACGCATGCACTGGCTTCTCCCGGAGCTGCCCGAACGGCATGTTCTCGACCGAATTCCCAAACGCATTCCAATCCTGCTGTAGCTCGTCTGCTTTCTTGCGCCCTGACAAGTACGACCGCGTTCAGGCACCGACATTATAATCTTGATCAAAGGAAAGAAGCCAGAAAGGTCAAGAGGTGGTCGATATCGGTACTCGGCCATCTCCGTGGTTCATCGATATTCTGGTTGTCGGTTCGAGTCATCCAGGACAAGCGGCCAACTACGGCGTCCAGAGCTCCGATCCCAAGTAGCTATCGAGTAACAAAAACCGCACGCTCAACGCTTTCTGGATTTTCCGGTGGCGCGCTTGCACACGAGAAGCCCAGCAGCCTCGGCTACTCTCATTTCGTCGTGGTGGCCAGTATGTTCTGCAGACACGATGTGACAAATTGCCTCTGCATTGGCTAGACGTCGTGCAGTGGTAAATGCTTTGCAATCGCGTTACAAGCCCGGGGGTAGGTTTTGCTTACGTTTCTCTGGAAAGCTCTAGACAATGACGATTCAGCATGGTGCGCAAACACCCTGGTAGCTGCGTTGTTGAACATCGCAAGCGGGGTGTTTGCTCTGGGAAAAGAGGAAAATTGCTCGTTAGTACCGTCCGACAGAACCTTGGTTCTGACGCATGATCCGTAAGGGATTTGCTACGTGTTCAATAACGACTAGAGACACATAAGCTCCATATAGTGGCGGAGAGAGCAGAAAGACGAAAAGGGAAGTTACAAGTTTTGCTGAAAAGACTCCGTGAGGGGCCGTCAGCGTCCCCATCTAGGCACCGTAAATGCTATCCGAGTTACCAGTGCGTTGTATCGCATGTGTACATCCTGCATATGCTATCCCTGCAACCCTCTTCTTCACTATAGCGACAGCAAAACTCATTCAAGACCTGAAATAGCCATCAAGTGTACACTACTCCTTCTGGGTTAGGGAAGCTGACTCGGTTTCTTTGCTGTTGGCCAGCATTGAGCGGGAATTGTAAAGACTCGCTTGTAGTCCGTACTCGGCCGCATTTTCGCGTCTGAGATCCAGGTAAGTATAGGCATCAGGCTTGTAGTAGATAGGTCGAGCTGCAGAGAGCAAGCCCATGGTTTCCAACTCCCGGAGTACTCGCACAACATCTTGAGTATCTCGAAAATCTTTGCTGTAGACGCAGACTGGGATACGGTTAGAGCGAGTAAATCTGTGTTCTTTCGGATCGCTGCCACACTTACTCAGTCGTTCCTCTTTTCCACTATCCGTTGCCACTTTGCAGCCAGAGCCAAGTCGGTTTTCGATGACACCTGCTACGATCTGTTTCCAAACTCGAGTAACATCAACAGATTTAGGGAACAACATCCACTACAAAAAGTTAGACATGAAAGATATGAGATAGTTAGCTCTAGTCAGCTTCCACCTACTTTCCCAGAGAGAACGTGAGTGTCACTCGCGAGGCTAGCAATTCGCTCTTGCAAGTACTTGCTTTCTTGAGTGAGCTGTTTGGTCACGCTTCCTTTTGGCTGTGTGGCACCTAATTCATGAATCTTACGGCGAATCTCTAAAGACTCTTGGAGCAGTCGCATGCCGCGATTTGTAAAGTCAGCGGCATGCGGACATGGCGGCTTTTCATGAGGATTGCGAAAAGGATTTTCAGCCCAGATCCAGGGACATGTGGACATGGAGGTGGTCAGTGGTGGAAGGCGGCGTATAAAGTCATCGACAGACTCGCCTAGTTGCCACGCATCGCGTTGTCCTTGTAGTCGATTGAACAACTCGAGCTCGGACGATTTTTCTGATGGTGACTCTTGCTTACGATTGTTAGACGTTAAAAGCTGCTCCTGCGCCAAGTCTTTGTGATAGCAACTAGGTGTTTTGCATGTCTGATCTTGTGTAACCGGTGATGTTCCCCTCTTCCCTCTCTTGGACGGCGCCGCGCTGTCATCAGAAGTAGGCTTTGCAAGCAGCTGAGCCCTCGCATCCATCATAATGACGTTAATATCATTGGAATGAGCACGCCAAAACGATTTTATACCATGCTTTTCGTAGTGCTGGTTTTGATGCTGTTGCTCTTCCTCGGTGCCTTCTACTTGTCAATGAGTGGGGCTTCAAGATGTACCCGACGTACCATAGAAACTGCTGTCATCTGAAATCCATCCATCCCCGGACACCATATCTTCCTCTTCCATTGCCAATATTACGAGGCTGAAAATAGTGTAGTTTGCAGGTATCCAGATAACTATGGCCGAAGACAAACACAGTGTAGTCAGTGATGGTTGACCGAATGGGGAAAGTAAATGAGAGACGACGCGCAAGGATACCCCTGCAGCCAAAACGCGCGCCCGCGTTCTCTCTACGCGTTGATCGTGACGGATCTTTTCAACTCCAACAGACAATCCAACGTTTTGACTTGCCAGGCTCAGATCAATCCATGGTATCCACAATGCCGCACTCAATCTCGCCGGATTTGACACCTGCACAAGACGCATCGCAGACCGACAACGTCAAGCCAGAGCCGGAAACCCAAGATGTCGCCATGGAAGACGTGCCAGCAGCGGCCACAGCAGAGACAAGCAAAGTCAAACTCGAAGAAATATTCGACGATGTAGATTCAGACCCAGAGTTCCCTTCGAGTGCACCAGCACCCACCTCACAGGAAGATGCATCGCAACCCGCCCCAATGTACGTCCCCACCCCACCCACGACATTGTTGACGCTCGACAACTGACATTCACATAGCAAGATTAATTCCAATTCATCCTTCTCCGACCCTGATGTCATGCGCGCCTTTTACCAGCGTCTCTTCCCTTTCCGCCCCCTCTTCCAATGGCTCAACCATTCCGTAACCCCGAGCAACGACTTTGCCCATCGCGAATTCGCATTCACGCTGCCTAATGATGCATATCTGCGCTACCAGTCCTTTCCGACTTCTGACTTACTGCGAAAACAATGCATAAGCATGCTTCCCTCACGTTTCGAAATCGGCCCCATGTACAGCACAAACCCGAGAGACCGAAAGACGTTGCGAAAAGCCAGCGCCTTTCGTCCAGTCATGAAGGAGCTGGTCTTCGATATCGATATGACGGATTACGACGATATCAGGACATGCTGCACAGGTGCAAGCATATGCCTCAAGTGTTGGGGCTTCATCACAATGGCCATCAAGACCATCGACGTGGCTCTACGGGAAGACTTTGGCTTCAAGCACATACTCTGGGTTTACTCTGGTCGCCGTGGTGCTCACGCTTGGGTTTGTGATAAGCGCGCACGAGAGATGGATGATCAGAGACGCCGCTCAGTAGCCAGCTATCTTGAACTTCTCAAAGGAGGCGACCAGGGCGGCAAGAAAGTCCATGCCCGGCGACCCCTCCACCCACATCTGGAGCGCAGTCTAGAAATCCTGAAAGAGCACTTCCAGACATCCATTCTCGCAGAGCAAGATCCCTGGGCCAGTGAGGAAAAAGCAGCTCACCTGCTTAACCTGCTCCCCGATCCTACCCTTAAGGCTGCCTTACAGAAGAAGTGGAGCTCTGCACCCTCACGCCCCAGCGCTTCTAAATGGTCCGACATTAATACCCTCGCCGAATCCGGCGCTCTGTCAAAGACCCCCAGAGAGCTTCGCGAAGCCAAGCAAGACATTATCCTAGAATACACGTACCCCCGTCTCGATGCCGAAGTCTCCAAGAAACTGAACCATTTGCTCAAAAGTCCATTTGTAGTGCACCCCGGCACAGGGAGAGTCTGTGTACCGATTGACACGCGAAAAGTCGAAGATTTTGATCCCTTGAGCGTACCAACAGTCACACAATTACTGCAAGAAATTGACGACTGGGCTGGCGACGAGACGGACAAAAAGGTACAGGACTGGGAGAAGACGAGTCTGAAACCTTATGTAGACTTCTTCAAGCGGTTCGTTGCAGGCTTGCTGGAGGAAGAAAAGCCGGTGCTCAAGAGGGAGAGGGAAGAGGCGGCGGATGCAATGGAGTTTTAGAGGGGACTTTGTGTTGTATAACAGGAATGAACAGGGAAGAAGGCGCTTTGGCGTTGAACGTGTGGAAACCCATGCTGATGTTGGATCAAGATAACTTTTCCCCGTCGCTATATGGGAAGTGACTAATGAGGTAAACAAAACGTGCTCTTTCGTCTCTGCAAATTAAGCCAAAACACATATTACTATGTACTCCCCTGATACCCCAACTGGCACACCACACCATCCATAGTACAATACGGCATCTGAATCGCGCTCGCGCCCACTCCCCTCGCCACCAGCCTCTCCCGCATCTCACTCAACCGCGGCGCCGCCTCAATCTGACTGCGATTTCTGCCCTCCCCATCCTTGGCCCCACTCCATAGTATCTCTGCCGCAGCCGCAGCGCGCGGCCAAACCATCTGATCCACATTCACCGCATCCGTTTGCTCAGCCCACATGTGCGCCTCACCCCCAAGAACGAGGTGCTGCGATGCTTCCGGTACACCAGCGAGCGGGTCCAGCGAGTAGATTACACGCCAGTTGTGGAAGGGGGCACAGTAATCATTGTAAGGCCAGTACTCCGCACTAACTGATGGATCAAAGTTGAGCCATTGGCCTTTACCGCAGTCAAGGTACTATTTCTTTCGGTCAGCATTTCTTCCTCTCATCACGAGTTTCTTTTGGGGGTACATGAAGGCGCGAGGGAAAAAAAAGAGAGAGTGCAGTAATCTTACCCAGAAATTGTAATTTCCAACAAGTACTTTATGGCCCTTGCCCACAATCTGCGCCACAGACGCATCGCTGAGCCACGATTGCACAATGACGTCGGAACCCAGCGTTAAATTCCAATCTAGCAGCATCTCTTCCCACACAATGGGTACGAGGCCCTTGGCGCGGACCTGGTCGTGGTTGCGGTCTACAAAAGCTTGCATGAGGGGCTGCAAAACGGCAAAGTCGCTGCTCTTGACTGTGTCATCGAGGCTATATGCGTTTTGGTTTACTTCATCGCCACCGGTGTGGAAGTATGCAGAATACGGATGCACACGCGGCAGTAGGTCGTCGAGGACGGTATTGAGGAACTGGCTTACAGCCGTGGAATTGAGTTTCAAAGTACCTGTCGGCGGCTCCGCCGCGTAGGTATCCCAGTTTGGTTGAATGTTGAATGCGGCGAGGAGGTCGGGGGAACTGTATCCGATGCTGGCTGTGTGGCCCGGCATGTCTATCTCTGTGATCATTTGAACGCCCTGGAGCGCGGCGTAGCGCTGTAGGTCACTGAAGTCGGAGGCTGTGTATACGAGGTCGGGACTGTAGGCGCCTTTGGCGGAAAGGGAGGGGATGGAGGGGATCTCCAAGGGCCAGGATTGAGAGTCTGTAGCGTGTAGGTGGAAGCGGTTCATTTTGTTGTAGGCGCAGGCATCGATTTGGCGTTTGATGTCGTTGATGGGGAAGAAATTGCGGGAGACGTCGAGGTTGATACCTCGGTGTTGGAATTTTGGGGCGTCGGAAATGGTGACTGGGGCGAGAGGTGTGTATACATCTTGTTCGTTTGAATGGAGGAAGAAGAGTTGGGTGAATGTTGTCAAGCCGCGGGCTACGCCAATGCTAGAATTTGCGTTAACGGTAGCTATACCGTCTGTTGTCAAGGTTAGGCTATAGGATTCGTCGACTTCGCCAGCTTGTGGCTTTCCGATGTTTTGTGGATCGACGGAAAGTTGTTTGATGTCGACGCGAGAGACGTATGCGCTTCCAGGTGATGGCTCGTTCCAGCCTCGAGGACGAAATTTCCACGGGTAGAGGCTTTGGTTAAAGATTATGTTCCAGCTGGATTTGATGGCAAAATCGACAATGTCATCGCCAGAAACACTGTCACCCGATCCATTGTTGGCTTGGACGGTGGCTGATACATCTGTATAAGTTTTGTATAGTTCCAGTGCTGTGCTTTGCTGAAAATGAGGTCCAATGTCAGAGTTTGATGCGAAAAGGAAAGGAGTTTGATCCGTGAATGGACCTACATTTCTAGCACCAGCCTTGTACCAATAAAAAGGGATATCCTTCTTGATGAAGAGAACAGCATCGCCCTGCTCATACGACGTAGGGAGCGGCCATATGGCAGCGGCCAATGATGTGAAAAAGGAACAGACTACAAGAGGTTTCATTGTGCAGCAAATGGATGAAACGAATGGATGAGAAGTTTAAAACTCAATGAAACGACAAGACGGCATAAGCTCTGGCAAGCTTTTTGAAAGAGATGGTCGAATTGTTGACCAATTTGTACTGATGGCTGGTGCACGAGGATGTAGGTCCGATTCGATACCCCCTAAACAATATCCGTTAAAGCCGGACAGTGATAAACTTTGTTATAGAAGTAAGCAGGGGAGTCCTAGTTCCGTTGTGTACCGGGTGGAAACTCAATTGGTTGTTGTTGAGCTGAAGGTTGGAGAAATGTACAGGGTAGTACTTGGAGGGCCAGCCAAGACATCACCTACGTACAAATAGTACAATGGTGGGGTATCCGGTTGAGGCGCGATAACGTGCCGGGGTTCAGCCTCCGCCTCCACTTCGGCTGCAGCCCTGACATCAGCTGTGTATAAGTGCACAGATGAGCTGTAGACGACCGCCAATCTGCTGTTTGTACGAGCATTCATACGGGGCCTCACTTTGACGAGCTTCTGACGACGTCGTGACGGTTGGCCTGACATGAGATGGTTGGTGTCAGCAACCCAGAGATCACGGCACGTCAGCGACGTACGTAAGTATGTCCCCTGCGATCAACGACTCAAGGTTCAACCATCAAAAGAAGACTGACACGGTCGTTCGCGCGACATTCAGTCATGACATTCGGCATTCGTACATATCTGGGAAAGATGCGATTTGTGCAGTTCGTCCGAAGCCGCGCGAAACATCCCCCCACCTTGAATAACCAGGATCGTCTTTCCCCGCTTTCATAACCTGCTAGGTCACACGGGCCTTGTGTTGTCCAGTTTGGCTAAAAACGCGAGACAAAGGCCACTCGTACGACGTCGAGAGCCCTCTGGAACGTCATATCCCGAGGTCCAAGACAAAGGATACGCCGTCTCGATAGCGTAAACATGGAAACATCAAAGCCATGACGACTACTTCCAAGCGAAGGGAGAGAAGCGCCAATCCCATGCTAGTAGGATGTGTAAATTAACAGTGGCGCCTGAAAATTTCGGCATCTTTTTCCATACAGAGGAGCTA